TCAATTTGTAGTCATTCTTTTAATCATTTTAATAAACCAAGGATGTTCCCTATAATTTACATATTATTCCGTGTCTTTGAGTTCTGATTTAGTGACTTTTGAACAACAGAACAAAACATTACGAGTTCTGTTTCTCCCTCAATCATTGCTACATGTGTGCCCATTGTTGCAGGCTCCATGTCAACCATCCCTCAGATGTCTCCTTTTATTTGATTTCCTCTACTTTCACAAGCATGATGCCCTTTTCCAGTTATTGGTCCCTGTTGGTGATGTGTCTAAAATCACACCTTTTTTGCTTCTAGAAGCTTTCTGGCTGTATTTCCTTAGGACAGATTTGTTCTTCTGGGAGTCCATGGCATGTTCAGTTTTCTTTGCCTGTACTACAATACAAAGGTGCCATTTTTTCCCTATAATTATATTTTATTAATTTTCATAAACTTTTACAGAGATTTTGGGTTTCCACTCATTCATTGTTGCACTATTCTCTCTACCCTCCTCCCAGTTGGTTCTTGTCCAAATGCCACAGTGCTTGTCAAAGCCAGTTCTGATTAATCTTCTTTGTCAGTGTGTCCTTTGCCATTCCCTATCACTCCTCCCTGAGAGAGACTTCACCCTGAGTCATAAGGAAAAGGGGACGGCGTATTCTCTTAGCTACTTCCTGCTGAAAAGGGACGCTGTGGGTTTCAGGGTGAAGATCTTCTCTCACTACTCTAAAGGGCCCCTTTGGCAGTAGGAAACACATAGACTATTATGGAGATTGATTTTGGAATTCAGATGCACTCTTATTGATTGTGCTTGGCTGTACATGTACATATCCTTCAAGATGTATCATGGGGGTGTTGCAACCTAGAAGACACAAATTTGACTAACAAGTTATAAGTACATGAGTCCAAAAATTATGGAAAAGTAAAAGAAAAGATTCTTTCATTGTTTTACAAACCCTCCCCCAGGTCCCCTCCACCATGTAGCCCTCGCTCTAGTCTCCTGTGATGACAGAAATACCTAGTTATATATCTCTTTTAAACGGTTCTCTCCCTCCTCTGTTTCAGTGCAGTATACATTATTAAACCCATCTTACTCAGTCTCTCCCCAACCCCAAGGACAGTCCCATTCTACAACAGTGGCATCATGTAATATTTGCCCTTTTGTGACTGGGATATTTCACTCAGCATAATGTTCTCCAGAGTCAACGATTTTGAATAATATTGCATGAGTTCCTTGTTTTTTAATGCAGCATAGTATTCCATTGTGCGAATATACCACAGCTTCTCTAGCCATTCGTTTGTTGATGGGCACTTAGGTTGCTTCCAACTCCTTGCTATTGTGAACAAAGCTGCAATAAACATGGGTGTGCATATATCTGCTTGGATGTCAGCTATGGTCTCTTCAGGGTATATTCCCAGTAGTGGAATTGCTGGGTCAAATGGTATCTCTATTTGCAACTTTTTGAGAAAGCGCCATAGTGCTTTCCACAAAGGTGCCATTTTTATTTGGTCTTCATTTTTTTTTCTTCTGGTTTTCACATGAATCTTTGATGACTGAACATAGTATGGTTTGGATCAGTGCACCTTAGTTATCAAAGTGATATCTTTGCTTTTAGTACTTTAAAGAAGCCTTTTACGATAGATTTCTTAATTGTTTCTTATGAGTATTGTTGGTTAATCCAAGACCAGTGAAATTCTTCATGACTTCAGGTTTCGATTTATCATTATGATGTTTACTAATCAAGTTCTACGGACTTTTTGTTTCTTTTTTTTAACATTTAAATGAAATCCTCATAAAAGCTGTAGTTTTTTAAATTTTTTTTTGTTTTGTCTTTTTATTTTATTTATTTATTTTTTTTTAAAGCTGTAGTTTTTTACCTTCGTCAGTAAGTACTTCAAGTTTTGTGTCATCTGTGTATCTCAGGTCACCTGTGAGACTTGTCAAATTCTAATCCTTGCTTCTTAGATTATTTGTATTGCACTTTGCAATTTTAAATCAAGCAGGACCCCCTTGTTCTGTTGTAATGATTCCTCTTGATCCTTGCACAGCTTCTCAGTGAACATAATTAATTGTTCAAGAATTCTCAGCTTTTGCTGTTGCTCATAATTTAGTAGATCCACACAAATAAATGGCTCAATGCACTCGATAAAACTTCAATTAACTTGTTTCTTGTTTTCTGTTACATCAGCTACTCAGCAAGGATGTCCCTTGTTCTGTGTCGAAAATAAACTTAAATTTCTGACTGTTCTCAGTAGTTTTAAAGCTATCTTTAGCAAAATTTCCTAGCATGTGATATTGATCGTATTGTTTGTTAACTTCCATAATTTGTTTGATCTTCTTTCTTAAAAAGGACATGAATGGACTTTTTTTCAGGTGGTTAGCCAAGTATGTCTTTTCTCCATTTCTTGACGTTAGACAAGTAAACAATTTTAACATTGCATGTGTTTGTTGAAACATCTATCTCAGTATCTCATCAGTTCCTAAAGACTTGTTTTTGCTAAGGCCTTGACCATTGCTTACATTTCTTTCTTTAATATCATTAGTTCTTGATTTTATCTTGTTTCCTGAAATGGTTGAACATTGACCTGTTCTTTTTTTGGTACAATGACTGTGTTCCTTCCATCTTTGTCTTTTGTTTTTCCTCCCACACCATAAAATCCTCCAAAATTGTAACTATAAGCTTGTCTTTTCATTCTTTCAACTTGAGAAATACAGATTGTGTTCTTCATGTTAGTTTTATGATTCCAGGTCTTTGTTCATTTTATGCTATTACTTTCTCTTCTTAAGCTGCCCTTTGGATTTATGTCTTCAGCTTTTTTACATCACTGTTTCTTTTGTTTTCTTTAACAAATTTGTGCTCAGGGGAAAGCTTCAGAGACTTTTCTAACATTCATTTTGATCTTCTCGTTCTTATCTTTTAATGAACTTTTTGCTTTCTTCATGGATGTTGACCTGTCAGAGCTTTCTGGTTTTCAGTCACTAGCATTTGTTGTATCAAACCTGTTTTTGAATGGTCTCTAAATTCCAGTGGGAATGTATTCAATATTATACTTTGGTTCTTGTGCACTTGCCTCAGTTTTCTTTAGCTTCATTTTGAATTTGCATGTAAACAATTGATGGTCTGTTTTGTAGTCTGTCTTGGTTATATCTTGAATATTTTGTCTTCTTGTCACAGATGCAGTCTATTTAATTCATTTTAAACAATCAGAGAAGCCTACTTGTTGAAAAAAAGTGATTTCTGATGAATAAGTTATTGGTCTGATAGAATTATTTGATCTTTGACACTATTTCGCTAATTTGGTATTTTTCAATGATGTAGATTCTTTGTAAATACTTCACATTTGAGTATTCAGTCTTTATTTCTCAAATAATTTATATTATTTTGAAATTTTATTATATCCTCAGTTTTGTTTCTACAGTTCCAGTTACTTTTGCTATACTATGGTGAAAAAAAATATGAAATGAAAAATTCCAGAAATAAGCAGAGCAAACAATTCGCAAATTTTTAATTGTGTACCATTTGAGTAGCACAATTAAACCTTCTACCATATAGGTCCATCCTCCCCAGGAAGTGAATCATCTGTTTGTCTATTATATTTACTCTATAGATGATGTCTGCTTATTTGTGACATTGAGTTCAGCATGGCTCACAGTGGACCCTGTAGGGATTCCAAGGTCCTAAATCTTAATTAGAAGTGGCTGCCCGTCTTCCTCCTTTGGAGTAGCTGCTTTATTTCAAGTGTTGACCTTTTAGCACAGTACTACACACTGCCACCAGAGCATCTCTTGCCAGCCCCTTCATCACTTAAGTACTTGTCTTGGTTATCAGGTGACCTGCCATAGTATCGCAGTGCTTGTGTTCAAGTAACTTGTATTTAATATTGCTCTATTTTATTATTAGTAGTTATTACTCTTTTACTGTGCTTAGTTTTGAAATTAATTATTGTTGTAGATATCTATATATAGGGGAAAACAGTGTTTGATGTTACCCATGCTTTCAGGCAATCACTGGGACTCTTGCATTGTATTCCCTGTGGATAATGGGGGACTACTGTATTTAAATGACTATATGCTATGCATACAGTTCCTAAATGAGATATAAATTAATCTTACTAAATAATGGGTATAAAACTACATTTTTTACTAAAGATCTCTGATGCTGCAGCAGCTAAACAGTTTGCTGCTAATTCAAAGGTCTGTATTGAAACCCACCACCTACTTCAAGTGCAAGACTTCCTGGTGATGTACTCCTGTCAAGATTATAGCCTAGAAAATTCCCTGAGCTATGTCTACCTTATTCTGCAGTTGCTATGAGTCAAAGTAGATTAGATGGCATATGACTATCACCATCCCTCTGACTGACTGTTAGATTAACTCAGGAACTTTTACAAATCCTGATGCCCAGGCCACACTAAAGATGGCCACGTCACCTCCAGACCCATTAATTCTACCTTTTTTTGGGTGGAACATAGTTGTTGGTTCTATTTTGCAGCTCTGTAGTTGTTTTTGGTATCAAATTATGTTTTAAGAATCACTAATCTTTGAACTGTGGTGTTGGAGAAGAGCACTGAACATCCCATGGATGACCAAGAGAATAAACCGCTATGTTTTGGTAAGGGTATAGCCAGCATGCTCTTTGGAGGCAAGAATGATGAGGCATTACCTCACATACTTTGGACGTGCTTCTAGGAGAGGCTGTTCCTTGGAGGAGGACATGACGCTAGGAAGGGAAGAGCTTTAGTGAAGGAGAGGAAGACCCTCAGCAGGGTGGATTGACCTGGTGGCTGCTGAAACAGGCTCTTGTGTGTCAGGAATTGTAAGGATGGCACAGGATAGACTAGGGTTCAAATCTTTTGATCAGAGCGTTGCTATGAGACATTTTTGACACCATGGCATCTAACAAAAACAACAAAAATCTAAATACATACTGCTAATTTAATGTTATGACATCGTTTTATTTTTGTTTTTCTTTTTTCTTAAAAAGTACAATCTCATTCTATATCTTTCTTTCCTAGGACATTATTGATAGACTTATTATTTTGAATTCTGAAGCTAAGATTCATTCTTTATTTAACTATGAACAATCACACATCTTTGGATTAAGGTAAGATGCTAACTATTACGTTAGATGCTGTTTTTTGTGTTTCAAATAATTTTATACATTTGCTTTGTGTACTTTATAGACTTTAAAATAAATTAATTGTATATGTAAACTTAAAGGTACTATAGTTTTCTCTACATTACAAACAAAAAATATAATTGTTGGCTTTTGTACAATGGTCTTTCTCTGCATTTATCTGCTGCATTACTATAGTGCCTTCTACTTTTGCCCAATATAACACAGACATTTGGGAACTATTCCATTTTGCTGACTCTAAACTGGAGTTTTCTTGAGTTGCTGTGGAATTGGACTCCTGCCATAGTATAATCTTCAGATAGGTGTGCAAATGGATGATTCACCTCTTGGCCCAAATATTGCTCTTTTGGTTTCCTGAGATTTAGGTTTTTCTGGTTTAGTTTATAATCCTTGAGATTTCCTCACCCCCGGCATAATCATATAGAAAAGAAATCAAGCTTTTGGTCTCAGAATATTTATAAAATGTTTATTAACCTTTAATTTTGTAGAAATTTTACATACTACTTTCACCCATTAATTACTCCTGTTGAAAGAAGCTCATTTAAAAATGTCTTAAGATCATCCTGGTTCATGATTTTTTTTTATCTCCTATCTGCTAGCAAAGAGTTGTGGTGATACAATGATGAAGTGTTTGATTACATTACGTTATATGAAGTGTTTGAAAATATTACAAAAAAGCCATTCAGTGGAACTTACTAATTATAAGATTGGAGTTCAGACTAACTAGTGGCTCCATGGGAGAAAAGATTTAGCGATTTATACCTGCAAAAATTCTAGCCTAGTTAACCCTCTGGGGAAGTTCTGCTCTGCCCCATCGGATCTTTAGGAATGAGAATCAGTTTGACAGTATACACATCAATAACAACTGCTAAAGTAACATTTTTCAGTCTTGAAGGACTCAGTGAAGGTGATCTACCTAAGAAATAGAACAACTCTTTTTTTCTAAATTTGGAATTCCCTGATGATAATATATTCTGCAGATCCAATACTTAGGTTCATTTTCAAAATATTAATACCTGAGCTTCATCTTGGGATTTTCTACTTTTAAAAACAGCTATTGAAAAGTTGAAACTACTGTAGTTCTTTTGGCTGCTGGTATGCCCTTCATCTATCTCAAAATGTATTTTCATATTACATTTTGGCTTTCATTGTATTACATCAGATAGACAGCATAACAAGCATCTATGGAAAACCTTACAAAAAAGCCATTCAGTGGAACTTACTTTTGTAAGAACAAATATTTTTCAGAGATTTATAGCTATGAAATATAAAATTTGGTTTGGTGCTATTGATAAATTGAGTGAATACCCTTAACATCTTTCCCCCCATTTATTTTCTTTCTCTGAAAGAGTACTACTTTTCTGTAATACTCTTGGAAAATTAACAGTAGAATTTTCTTAAAGCTTATAAAAAACAAAGGTTGGCATGCTCTTGGGAATAAAGTATTTTTACTTGCATAATGCATATTCTCTCATAATTTCCCAATGCAATTAACTCTATCCTATAAGGTTTAGGAAATTTACCATCTCTTGGTGATATAAGGAACTCTGGTGTCCTAGTGGTGAAGGAGCTGTACTGCTAACCCAAAGATGCTTAGTTTGAATCCTCCAGCTTCTGTGCAGGAGAAAGATAGTCGGTCTCCACCTATATGATTTACTGCCACTGAAAATCTGCCGGAGGGTCAGTGGTGAGTTAATTCCCACTCAGTGACATACAACAGCAAGCACAACATGTGCATGTGCTTCCATAATATCCAAATGAAGTCACGCTGTACTATAAGGTCTAGATAATTTACCATCTCTTTGTGATGTGAGTGGTGCCCTGGTGTGTGGTGTATTGTGCTGTCTACCAAAAAGGCATTAGTTCAAATATACCAGCAGCCCTGGAGCAGAAAGATGAGTAGTCTTTTCTTGTTAAGATTTACAGCAGTAAACACTGGAAGGAGGGCCACTTCTGATTTAAAATTGACTCAATAGGTGTGAGTTTAGTTTTGTCATTTTTGTTACGTAATAAATGTAAAAAACCAACATGTTATTGTTAAGTACCACTGAGAGCATCATGACACAAGGCAACCGTGTCAACAACAGATATGAACCTTTCCTTATTCTGTGCCATCCTCACAATCTCCACCACACTTGAGCTCATTTTTAAAGTCATTGTGTCATTTCATCCTGTTGAAGATCTTTTTTCTTTCTTGAAAACTCTGTTTCCCAGCATACTTCTTTTTCCAGGGACTGGCCTCTCATAGCAGTGAGCCCAAAGTATGTGAGACAAAGTTTACTGTCCTTGCACCTAAGGAGCACTCTAGATGTACTTTCTCCAAGACACATGTGTTGATTCTTTTGTCAGTCCATTGGATATTCAGTACTCGTCTCCATCACTGTAATTCACCGACATTGATGGTTCTTTGATTATCCTCCGTCACTGTCTAAATTTCAGTTGCATTTCAGATTCATCCAATTTCTCAAAAACAATGCATTCAAATTGTGCAAATAAACTAGTATAAAAAAGAAATAATTAGAAAAAAATTAAATTATTGGAAATACTATAGGTTAGATAAGATACACCTTAGTCTTTAAATTGATATTCATGCTATTTAGCACTTTAAAGAGGTCCTTGACAGCAGATTTTCCCAGTGCAACACATCTTTTGATTTTTTTTTTTCTTTTCTTATGTAACATCTCTAATGATACTAATTACAGCAAAATTTTCACCTGGAACAACCAACTTATCCATTCAAGCAACTACATATGAAACACAAATAAGATCTTGATAAAGAACTTAGACACTAAAATTGTTTCCTGACTATTGCTATGATGACTGTTGATTGTGGATGTATGGTAAATCAATATTGAGAGTATGTCTCCATTTTTCTTCACCTTTTCCTTTATGCTGTACTAGAATCTATTTATGCTGGGAATATGAGTCAGTTTGCTCACCTTTTCCTTTCCGATGTGCTAGGTCATGCGATTACCTGATTCAAAATGTTCAATGCCAATCCCTTTCATTTCCCTGATGCCTCGTATGTCAATAAGAATTGATTTTCCTCGTTTTGATTTTGTGTCATGATGGAGAGGAGATTGAGGTTATTAACAGCTTCATCTTGCTTGGATTCATAATTAAAACCCTTGGTATGGGCAGTCAGAAAATAAGGAAAATGGAGTGGGGAAAATCTGCAGTTAGGGACCTTTCCAAATTATTGAGGAGTAGTGATGTCATTTTGAAGATTAAGGTGTGTCTGATTCAGGCCATGGTCTTTTCAATTACTAGCTGTGTATATGAGACCTGGACAATGAATAAGGATGACAGAAATAGAATTGATGCCTTTGAGCTGTGGTGTTGGAGAAGAACACTGAACATTTCACGGATGGCCAAGAAAACAAATAGATATGTGTTGGAGAGGATGCAGCTAGAGTGCTTTTTGGAGGCAAGAATGATGAGGCTTTGCCTAATATACTTTGGACATATTGCTAAGATGTGCTGTTACTTGGAGAGAGACATGATGTTAGGAAGGGTGGAGGGTGGCAAAGGAGAGGAAGGGCCCTCAACCAGGTGGACTGACAAGATGACTTCTGCAGTGGGCTCTTGTGTGTCAGCAAGTGTGAGGATGTAGCAGGACAGTACTATGTTCAGATCTTTTGTTCATAGGGTCGCTATGAGTTGTATTTGGCTCAGTGGCACCTCACAACAACAAAAGTATGTCAGTATTTATGCATTCCATTTCTTTCTTAACAAGGTCCAATTTTCCTATATTCATACTTTTCATGTTCCACATTTCTTCATGCACTATACTAAACACAGAGATTTCTGGTGGCCTGGTGGTATGAAGCTGCACTGCAATTCCAAAGGAACACAGTTTGTGTTCTCCACAGGAAAAAGATGAACAGTCTTCCATATACAGTTAACCACCTCTGAAAATACACTGGAGGGTCAGCTGTGAATCAGTTCCAATGTTGTGGAACATAATAACAACAATATAAAATATTCTGAGCCTAACTTTTTCCAGTGTCTCTGGAATCTGTCATTTATGTCCTTATTTACAAATTTAGTGCTCAGAAAAAAGTGACATCGCTTTCTGAGGAAATGGCTTTATTTTAGCTTCATATGCTTTTTCATTGACTATACAAAGTTACTTGACTTTGTCTATCACAACAAAGTGGCTAACTAAAAAAAAAAAAAATAAAAAAGTGGAAATCCCAGAACACTTGATTGTGCTTATGTGACCTATGCTTGGACCAGGAGGCAGTTGTCAGAATAAAGCAAGGAAATACTTCATGGTTCAAAATCAGGAAGGGTGTACACCAGGAATGGTCCTATCTCCACATCTTTTCAGTTTATACGTGGAACAGATCATCTGGGAGGCTAGGCATAATGAGGAAGAATGTAGCATCAGGATTGGAGTAAGACTTATCAACAACCTGTGTTAAGCAGATGACACAACTTACCCTGCCAAAATTGTGGAGGAAGCACTTGCTGCAGAAGGTCAAGGACTGAAGTCTTCAATATGGATTGAAGCTCATCATCATGAAAACAAAGATTCTCACCACTAGGCCGATTTGTAGCATCATGATAGTGAAGAGACTAAGATTGTTAACATCTTCAGTTTGCTTGGCTCCACAATCAATACTCTTGGTTCCAGCAGCCAAGAAATCAAAAGATGAGTTACACTGGGAAAATCTGCTGCCAGGGACCTCTCCAAAGTGCTGAAGAACCACAGTGTTCAGAGCTGTTGTACCTAGGGTTCCTATGAGTCACAGGTGACTCAATGGCATATAACAACAACAACAACATGCGTACCATGTATATGGATCAGTAGACAGGCATTTGAACAATATAAAGGTACATAACACTGTGGTTTCTGATTGAAAAAGATCATGCTGAGGTTTATTAGAGACATTAACAGGTTACAACTCAGGTTGGCCAAAAGATACAGTTTCTTCTTCATGATGACTTCTTTTATTTTTTCC